CCACACCACCACCACCATTCAGCTACCATTGGAAACAAAAAGGAATTATGGATTTGGTCAACTGGTCTCTGAACGCAACTGACACAATTTTTTCCACATTAAGATTAGATCGAGGGGAACAAAGCTGACTGAGTGGAACAGTTGCTGTGGGGCGCATCTGTGGTTCTTGGGGCTGGAACCTGATGTGTCTCGCACCACTTTTCATTGAAGACGTGGAAGATTTGTATATATATTTGGATTTATGATAACTAGATTTTTCCTGATCGGAGGAGGCAGTTTCCTGATTTATCAAAAAGTGAAAGCGATCCTGACAGTGGTCCAGGCCATTGAGAAGCTGTCGGGCGCAGTGGATGGAATCTGCCGTTCTGAGAGCGCACAGACTCAGTTTTTGGGGGAGGTAAATTGCAAAGTGGATGTGGTTCTGACGTGAATCGCAGCTCAGGAGTGTGTCTCTGGCATGTAGGATTATATCTGGGTGAAGCTCCAGATGGCGAGAGGCGAGGAGAACCCCGAATTCGGTTTAATTGGAACTTTTTCACCACTTCAGAGATGCAGTTAAAGCCCTATTCTGATGGGATTAGTTTTACCTAGGGACCCCATGTAATAAATAAATTACCCCCCCAACATCTGTGTTTTATGTGGCGCATTCGCACGGGATAACCAAAGCCTGAGATTTTCCTGAAATTTACAGACATTTCCTGAATGTGACATTGAAGCCTGGTTAGTTGTTGTCTATTTAGTTGAACACGGCGTTGAACGGACGTTAAAAAAAACCAACATCAAGTTCTCCACTTTTTCCGCTCTCCTCTCCTCCTGCGTACAGCAGACACTGTTATCTCCACAGCCGACAGACCCCCACCCCATCCCCACGCGCAGGTACGAGTGGTACAGATTTTTAGCAAAAGTTATAGATTTTTGAGGCTCATTAGATAAACATCCAAAGGGGTTGACATATGAACACCTTCACAGCTGGCGAGAGTGCGTGCGCCAGCTACCCAAAGCGCGAGCCTGCACTGCAGTACGGCCACTGCTCCACACTCAGCATCAGCCAGAAGGCTACAAACAGAAAAAAAAAAAAAAACAACAACAACAAAAAAAAACCCACATATTCTTATCGTACAGTGAGCCACCATTTGCATCTGATTTTGCTCCCACTCTTCAGACTTTTTTTTAAATTGTGCACGTAATGTGTCGGGTTTTTCCAGCCCGGGACTGAAAAGGTTTTCAGTGCACTCCAATCCAGTCTCCATTCTTCACCAAAAGTAAATAAAAATGCACCAAGWAAACCAAAACCGCCTAATTACATATGGGATTCAGTCCATTCCTGTCCAAAATCACAGAGATGCCTATTCACATTGGATTAGTATTATCACAGGACCTCGGARTTCAGCAAATTATGGTAGGTAATTTGCCGGGGACTTTTTACTTTACAAATTACTGACATGGCCGATTCTCATGGGATTAACAACACAGACAATCTCTGTAATTATTACAAATAGCATGGGGTCCCCAGGTAAAACTAATCCCGTCAGAATAGGGCTTAAGACATTAAAAGGCAGCAGAAAAATTCAAAGCTGTTTTGTCCCAAACAATGGTGTTTATCTATTCGGTTCCCAGCTGCTTGGCCTCGAAGGCCATGCTATCTAAACTCCCCGTGGATGATATGTCAACAAGGGCTTGATTCCCCTTCCCACCCACATCACCCATGTTGGCCTGGCCTGTGGACCCAAGGCCGAGAAGAGGAAACTCTGAACTCTGGTGAACCGAGTGAGACGTGGTAACATCATGGCCTCTGGACTCTAGAGGGTTCTAGGGATGGGTTCCAGCACGGAGACCCACCCTCAATGTCACCAACTCCACTGAACTCCGCCCTGTTTCAGGTGTTGTACCTAACTCTCTTGAATGGGTGTTCCTAAATGTAATTTCATTGTGCTCTGTACAATGACAATAAAGGCATCATCATCATCATATATGGAATTTTTGCAAAAAAATTACAGATTTTTGAGGGTCATTATACAGGTAAATGACCAAAGAAGTTGACATGTATGGATCTGCACAGCTCCAGAACCAGGAAGCGTGCAGAGAAAATCATTTCAGATCCATCAYACCCTGGTTATAATCTGTTCCAGCGCCTTCCYTCAGGCTGGTGTTTTAGTCAAWTSAGSATCAGGAYAACCAGGCTACAGAGAAGCTTCTTCCCAAATGCATCACTTTCCTGAACCACTGAATTTATTTTAAGAACTTTTATTTCATATTCTCTCTTCTTTTGTAYGTCATTAACTGTTGTACTAGTACAYATTTATTATTCTTATATGTACTCTGAGTTACAACAACCAAAACCAAATTGTTTGTATGCGTGACTATACAAGCTTGATTATGATTGGGATTCAGATTTACTTTCAGGTGTTGAAAAGTAGGCTYCAGCTGATTGATGAACCTAAGATTCAGGAGCTGATTGGCTTTGGCTCTGGGTGTAACAGTAGATCAGATCAYCATCCTTGCAAGGTTGCTAAAGGGGGACCATGGGACTTAGACTTTCCGGCTTCAGGAGTATGGGGTGCCAGAGTTGTTTTTAGGGGCTGTATCTTGTAGCTACMTTTTTGATACTTTGGAATTTAGTGAAAATTAGCATTTTTTTTACTACATAGGCTAGTATTTTACTACTTAGGTGTTTAGCTATTTTTAGAATTTAGCTCGTTGTTTTGTTCCTTTTSCCATTTAGATACATGTTATGTTTTGTTTAACTTTAACTAGAGAAATTGCATTTCCTGCAAAAATGCTAGTGTGAATGCTTCATGTCGAAAACTTAAGCTGAAAGCTACTGAAATTGAGCTGAAAATATTTAATAGGAAAAGTATTAATGTGAGCTCACTGAAAAGCTTAAAGAAGCAAAAAAGCCTAATTTTGCAGAAAACCAATAAAAAGGAGCACAAATCCAGTTGAAAACCGAAAACAGCTAAAAGCTAAAAGCTAAAATAGCTGAATATAGCTGAAAACATCCGTAAGAAGCAGTAAAATGGCAGTAAAAAGTATTAAAAGT